CAAGTAATACTTCCCCCGCATAGCGAAATGTTATCCTTAACATAGTACATGCCGTTTTTCTTTTCCGTTCATATGTTTACCTTGGCTATTTCCATATCTCCTTTCCAAACAGTCTGTAGTGTCGGACCCACAGTACACAGCGACTGAGGTGGATATGGTGGGTTTGTTAATTGATGTTTCTCTCGCCAACCCACTTCGAGGGTTTGAGTTGCTCAACCAGAACATCGACTGCAAACGGATTAAGAACGCTGTATTGATTATCAACAAGGTTTGTTTGCGTCTGTATGGCTGCTATTTTTATTTCCATGAATGGTGCGCATATGTGCATATATTCATTTTCGCACACAATATATATATATATATATATAGTTAAAAGGTAAATTTATAGCAACACCTTGGCCAATTGCATATTTTCATTCAAGTACCACATTACGAATACGTATACGCATACATGTACATAACGGTTTTCAAGATGTACGAAATGTCACTCAGAAGGATCGCTATGAATGCCAAACGAGTTGCAAGCAAGGTCTTTAACAAAGAGATGTGGTGGTCTTCTATAGAGTACATGCATATATGCATATGTCTAAGATGTACGTTCGCAGGTATACGTTTTGTGTATGAGCATGTGGTCCCCACTTCACACATCTCTACATCCATGCTTACGTAGGTGGATATAATCAAGGACAAGCGGGAGTATCTGCTGCCCATGGTGAAACGGGCCATGATGGTCAGCAAGATTAACTTCGACAAGGTCTTCTACATCTCAGCACTCAACCGAGACGGTGTGGATACGCTCAAGGTGTGTGTGCTGGTATACATATTTTATATTATATATATATATATATAGTAGGGATGTGCACTAAACGCTTGCGCATGGTATATGTAGTTGACATTCTAATATTTCTGCTTGCGGTTTGGCCTTAAGAGTATCTAGAATGCATTTGTACGAACGTTTTCGTTTTATTCCATTTGGAGTTGCTCGATTCGGTCATTACCAACCCGGAATTCACTCCAATCATATATATATATATATATATGTATATCTATAAAGCTGAAACACACCATTGATCTAGTGAACTACTTGCTTCTGAACACCAGAACTATCTATTAGCCGAGGCCAAACCAGGAGACTGGGAGTACGATCCGTCTGAGGTAAGTCACTTTTACATAGTTTGAACAAATTGATATACGCACATGAATTTTGTGAGATTGGGAGTGCTGTATTGTCGACGGACATTTAGTGTATCGCATCGCGATATGACTAAACTCGTGCACACTTCAATTTAAATCGCGCAACCCTGTGCATTGCTTATATATATACAAATGTATGTAGATATATATAAATGTATTTATATACATATACACACACATATATATATATATATATAGATATAAATATATATATACATTTAGACGTATCATATATATGTATGCATGTATGCATGTATGTATGTATATTTATATGTATATATGAGATATATATTTATATGTATATGATATGTATATATATATATATATATATATATACAGTGCGAATACATCTTCCAAAACAATTCAAATCTGTTCATATTAAATTAAATCAAAAATATATATATCTATCTGTATATCTATCTTTCGATCTATCTACATATCTATATATATGAATAT